GCAGGAGCATCTTTCCAAACTGGGTGCTGTCCAGCCTCCTCAGGGCCAACAGGCCGTTGTTTGTTTAAACTCCACTGATGCACACGCAGTTATTACTGGTTTTCTGGGGAGAACCGTTAGGCTTGTGTGGTTTGTAGAGATGACTCTGGCTTTAGGATGGGTAGGAGGGGACGCCACGGCTGTGTCTTTGAGGATGGTGGGGCCCTGGCTTGAGGGACGGGGCTGGGTTGAGGCAGGTTTCATCGGAGGAAGATTCTGGAGTTTTCTCAGGGTTCCGTGCTGTAGCATCTGGCACCCAGAGCCTGGCCTCTGCAAGTATTGGTGCGAGGCTGACCTGTGCAGGGGGTGGGGCAGAGTTAGGGAGATGCTGGGTTAGGCAGGACCTGGTCTATTGGGCTGGGGTATGGCAGGAGATGTGGAAGTCCCCCTGTGGTGGAATTAATCAGGAGTCTGTGGTCAGGCACCTGACCCACGGGAAAGGGCCACCTTCCTTTTGGGACCTCAGTTTACATCCTTCACTGCTTCCCTTTGGCCCTCAAGGACCTATCTCTACCTCATAACTTGCAAGTGTGGAAGAGATGGGGCCTCCCTCAAATAGGTGACTCATGGTGACTGGGCAGATGCCACACCCCTACTCCAGGAAAGCTTGAGGTCTGGGTCTAAGCTCCAGGAGAGACACTCTCCAAAGGGAGCCTCAGCCCCACTCTATATGACCCCCCCAATACTGCTAAAGTCCTTGTTGGTGCACTCCCCAGCTACAAGGAGGAGAGAGTGGGCCTGAGGAGCCCTGAGTTCCCACCAGACCCCTCAAGCAGCCCTTTTCCTGCTTGCCCTGTGTGGCTGTTGCCACAACCACCCTCATCTTTTAACTCTTATGCTGTGTGCCTTCAGACAAATTCTTGAACTTCTCTGTGCCTGGGCCTCCCATCAGTGAACTAAGGATGCTGTTAACACCCACATTCTGGGTGCTCATGAGGATTCTGTGTTTTTAAAGAGCTGAGTGGGGCCCAGCTTCTGGAGGGTTTGGACATGGACACCCAGTGGTTTCTGTAACATAACCCTTTCAGTGGCTAAGCAGGGTGCAGCTTTGTATGGCTGTGCTCTGTCTTCTATTTACCTTGCAAATGTTTCCAGAACAGCTGGTAACGGTCTTTCTATTGTGGGTGCTATTCAGGGTGGGAGCCTGGCATCTAAGAACCTTGGTCCGGAGCCTCCTCATAGACAACAGTTCCTAAGTCCACTTGGTCTAGTTACCATCCTCAAAGGCCGGGACAGGCCCTCCAAGTGTTCCTCTCATCCATTCCCTGTGGTCCTGTGCTGTAGACCCGTTCACAGAGATTCCCCACTGCAGCCTGCCGCAGCCTGCTACAGCCTGCCGCAGCCTGCCGGGTTCTTAGAAATCTCCACTCACATGGAACTGCAGAAAAGAATTCCAGGAGGAGTCAGTATAGAGCAGAGTTGAATTTATTAAGAAGATAATTTAGGGGAGCTGGAGAAATGGCTCAGTGGTTAAAAGCACTGGCTGTTCTTCCAGTGGACCTGGGTTCAATTCCCAGTACCCATATGGCAGCTCACAACTTCCTGGAACTCCAGTTCCAGGGGATCCGATACCCTCATACAGACATATGTGTAGGCAAAACACTGATGTACATAAAAAATATCATTTAAAAGACAAAAGGAAAGAAAAGAGTGTCAGTAGACTGCTCATCTTGCATGCGTAGGCCAGGATGAGGTGGTGCACACCTGTGCTCTCAGCGCTTGGGGTGAGTAGGCAGCAGGATCAGGTGGTTATCTTCTACCATGAGTAAGTTCAGGGTCAGCCTGGGCTATGTGAGACCCTGTCTGGGAAAGATCAGGTGAAGAAGCAACTGTGGAAGGTCCTCATGCCAGCGTCTGATTTCACCATGTGCGACCCCTCATGTGTACACAGAAACATGCATACTTCTCAAGTGTGCGCACACACACATACACACATAGACAGGCACACAGAGATATGAATATAGATTTGAACTTGAGGCTTAATAGAAAGAGAGGCGCATATGAAAGGGGCCAGACACCCAGATGCTGGTGGGACTTCTGAAGCCCCTGGTCTCTTCCCTGTAGCTGTGGATAGGATTTTGGAGGCTTTTGGAATTACCCTGCTCATTACATTTCTAAAGGATCCTGCTTCCTTTGTCTCCCCTGTATTTTGCCTGCTCCTTGCCCCTTTATTTCTAAGATAAGGTCTTGCCTAGTTGGCCTTGAACTCACTGTGTAGACTAGACTATCTTTGAACTCACAGAGATCTGCCTGTCTCTGCCTCCTGGCATTAAAGGCATGTGCCACTGTGCCTGGCTTCCTTGTTCTCTTTATTTTATTTTTTTGTTTAAGATTTATTTATCTTATATATGTGAGACACACCAGAAGAGGGCATCAGATCCCATTACAGATGGTTGTGAGCCACCATGTGGTTGCTGGGGATTGAACTCAGGACCTCTGGAAGAGCAGTCCATGCTCTTAACCACTGAGCCATTGTCGGGAAAATTTAAAAAGGTCCCACATCAGGGAGGGAGATCTTATGGTTCCAGCGGCCTGAGGGCCTTGGCGGCGGCAGGCCCCAATAACACGAGGAAATCCTTGGTTCCAAAAAGATTTATTGTCATGACGGATAATAGATGGATCTAGGCGTGCCCCCAAAAACTCAGGGCAGTCCCGAGTTATATAGGGAGGGAGAAAGGGGGAGGATTGGGGGAGGATCTGGGGGAGGAATGTTTAATTTGCTCTGCCCTCTGGCCTTCATTAGTATGTAAATCTCTAGGGCCTGAGGCCTATAGCCTGGCCTATGTGACTCTATGGAGGTGTGACTGTTTTTCAGGATCCTAGATGATGGGAGGGACCGAACTCCTGCCGGTTCTCACGCAGAATTCCACGGAGAATCTCGGGGTTCTAAGTACCTGCTCAACCATGACCCAGGATACCCTTATGCAGTCCCACAAGCCATCTCTCCAGCCCTCTTGTTCTCTTTAAAAGAAAAGATTTATTACTTATGATGCTGGAAGAGGGCTCTGGATCCCTCCGTCTCAGTGTTTCAGACATTTGCCAGATGCCAGGCTTGTCACGTGGGTGCAGGGATCTGAACCTGTCTTAACCAGGAGGCTTCTTTCTAGCCCATTTCCCTCCTGGATGAGATCCTAGGGTGATTCTGGCACCCTGGGGAGGATTACAGAGTGATGGTGAAACCACGGGCTAAGCGGGTGGAACAAGGGCCTCCGGCTCTAAACGAGGATGGAGATGCCTAGAAAGAGGCAGGTTTAGGTGGAAAAGGAGAAAGGTCACACTCAAAGGTCATGTAATCTTGGGCCTTTGCCATGGTTTGTTGCTAGTTATGTATTTATTTGTTATTATGTGTGCTTGATATGTGTGTGTGCACACACATGTCAATAGCATGTGGAGAAGTCAGAATTCAACTTTGGGGGTTGGATCCTTCTTCACTGTGGTTGCCAGGCTTCACAGGGGCTTTACTGAGCTATCTAGCTGGTCCAACTTTGGTCCTTATTTGAAATACCCCTGTATAGAAGGAAAGTTACCAACATTGGCAGAGTCCGCTGCTTGTGTTGGAACTACGGACTCTTGGCTGGAGGGAGACTTGCATAGTGTGGCTGAGGGTATCTTTACTCTCCCACAATCCCTTGGTGTCCTATGTTTCTGACTGCCCTCAGTGTGAGGGCACTGAGGAGTGGCTGCAGCCTCCCCTGGGCTGCCCCCTGACCTAGCTGCCTTTTCAGACAACTGGTGTCTGCATGGCAAACATTAACCACAGATCTCTGCCACTGACAGATCCTACCCCCGCACCCCACAAGCCAGCATTGCAGCCATGGTCCAGGTGCCCCGGCTTCGCCGTAAAGGCCCCACTTTACCCTTCTGTGTATTGGGGAGGTGCATGCTTCCCTTGGTTAGGGTAAGATCTCAAGCCCATGGTCTGTATCCTCAAAAGACGCACACATGTCTTCCAGGTCTAGCTCTCCCTCTGCAGGCACATCTGCCGGGAGCCCATTCTTGATCCTCTCCAGCGACAGGGGACACACCATGTACAGCTGTGTTAATTCTAGAGAAAGCTCTTGCAGATAATTCTTTGTATCTTGTAAATAGGTTTTATTTTAAAATCTGTTTTTATATTTTGTATTGTTTCTCAAAGTCCTTCTGGAGTGGCTAGTCAAGGACTCGATATCCGGGAACTATATGGCTGCACCGAGGTTGAGTGGGTGGACTGGGCTGCAGGGAAACCCGTCTGTCGACAGACCTCTCAGGACACCGAGTTTGTCAGTGCTGATGGGCACTGTGACTTGGAGGGATGGTTGCTATGGAAACAGGCCTTTCCTGAATGCCCACTGCTGGCCTGGCCCTCAGGGATATCTAGTGATCCCTCGGGCCAATGGGCAGGTGTCCACAGCCCACGTTCTCTGAGTCTGGGTGTCAGCCTGAGCCACACCCAGTATGCACCTCTGTACCTCTGAGGGTATGGGACTGACTGCTGCACCCAGGTCCCCATGGGTAGGAGCCACCCAGGTCCCCATGGGTAGGAGCCACAGAGCTCGGTACCGAGTACAACTGAGGAGACTTGTTCCGGTCAGGGTTCTTTGAGGAGATCTAGACTAGTGCCAAGGCCTCCTGCAGCCCAAAAGAGTGGTCAGTTCTGCCACCCCCTCCTGGTGGCACATCCAGAACACATGCCAGTGACTGCTGGTGTGCAGGGTGACTCCTGCTGTGGCCCCATTTGGCCATGTCATAGCTCTGTCACATAAGGGGAAGACATAGTATAGGGGACGATGTCCACACCAGTGCAGACCAGATAGTTGACACCAGAGCTGGGGAATTGGGTTCCAGAGCCTTCCAAACCACTGTGGCCACCCACCTTCTTCTCAATCCCAAGATCTTTGGAGAGGTCAAAGGGCATTTTGTCAGGTGGGGGTCTGCTCCTCTGTGTGTGAGCTCTAACGGTCTTCATGTTCCCATCCCCACAGTCTCTGCCGATGTGGATGCTGAGGCCCAGAGAAAGGGGGCAGCTCGCCTAGGGACGCAGAGCAGGAGAGGTGGAGCAGAGTCTTTAGGCCAAGACCCCGGATACTACAGCTGGTGTCTGTCTGTGCCAAGCCCCCAGACTGCTCCCCAGATCCACTGGGGTAGCCCTGCTACCTATCAGGTGAGTGGAGATGAGAGAGGGGAGCCCCCAGCCCAGCTTCCTGGGTTGGGCACAGATGTGAAGGGTAGCCCGCCTCGGGTGCCATGGGTCCTTCCACTTGCCCCTCTGTGTGTCCGGGTCCCGGGATCTCTCAGACTTTCTCTCCCTGTTCATCATTCATCTGGTTGTTTATTAAGCACCTGTTGTATACCTCACTGTGTATCATTTGGTTGTTTATTAAGCACCTGTTGCATACCTCACTGTGTACCAGTGTGCAATTCAGGAATTAAAAGAAGAGGGGCTTACATTTAACCAAGGGAGTACAGTAGTCTGGGTGCTCATGAAAGGATCTGGGGACCCCTCCGAAAGGAGGATGTGACGTGAAACATTTTTGTTGCTCGCCCTTCCTTCCTTCCTTCCTTCCTTCCTTCCTTCCTTCCTTCCTTCCT